GGGGTGGGAAATCCCAACAGGGTCGGTTGTGATGGAGCCTGGAAAAAACGGGATCCAGGAAAGGCAGAAATGTGGGAATGTGCTGGGAATGGGGCACGTGACGCTCCTGGAAAGGGAAATTTGATGGGTTTGGGTTCCACAATTCCCACCCCAGATCTTTACCCCACTCCTCCTTTCCCCACCATCCCAAATCCCACAGGGAATTCGGGATGGGATCGTTTTGATCTCCCCCATCCCTCACCTTCATTTCCCTCCACTTTTCTCCATTTCCGTCCAATTTTCTCCATTTCCCTCTGATTTTTTCAATTTCCTTCCAATTTTCTTCATTTCCCTCCACTTTTCTCCATTTCCCTCCACTTTTCTTCATTCCCCTCTGATTTTCTTCATATCCCTCCACTTTTCTTCATTTTCCTCCACTTTTCTCCATTTCCCTCTAATTTTCTTCATTTCCCTCAGATTTTCATTTCCCTCCACTTTTCTCCATTTCCCTCCAAATTTCTCTATTTCCCTCCAAATTTCTCCATTTCTCTCCAATTTTCTCCATTTCCCTCCCATTTTTACCACCCCAACCACCCCTCTTTCCCCCGTCGGAGCCTTTCCCAACATGAACGTTGCAGGATTCTGTGGTTTTGATGATTTTGAAGATTTTCCCTTGTTCCCGGCAGTGTCCCCGGCCGCCGAGCGGCTCCGTTACATCCTGGGCGAGGACGACGAGCCGCCCAACCCCACGCTGTTCACGGAGATGGACACGCTGCAGCACGACGGCGACGAGATGGAGTGGAAGGAGTCGGCCAGGTCAGGGGGGATCCGGGAAAAAAAATCCCATTCCTGAATATCCCTGTGTGGAAATGGGATATCGGGGGATGAGCGTCGTTTTTAAACGTGTTAAAAAAGGGCATTCCCAAAACAGGGAAAAGTGGAAGAAACTGAATTTTAGGGGTTTGTGAAAATGAGATATCGGAGGATGAGCGTTGGTTGAAATGCGGGAGAAATGGAATTTTGGGGGTTTGTGGAAATGGGATATTGGGGGATGAGCATCATTTTTAATGGTGTTAAAAAACAGGGAAATGTGAGAAAAATGGCATTTTGAGAGGGTTTGTGGAAATGGAATATCAGGGAATGAGTGTGGTTTAATGGTGTAAAAAAGAACATTCCCGAATCAGGGAAATGAGGGAAAAACGGTGTTTTGGGAGGGTTTGTGGAAATGGAATATCAGGGAATGAGTGTAGTTTTTAATGGTGTTAAAAGAGGGCATTCCCAAATCAGGGAAGTGTGGGAGAAATGACATTTTGCGGGTTTGTGGAAATGGAATATCAGGAAATGAGCGTCATTTTTAAAGTCAAAAAAGACATTCCTGAATCAGGGAAATGCGAAAAAAAATAATGTTTTGGGGGATTTTGTGGAAAATTAATAACAGGAATGAGCATTGTTTTTAATGGTGTTTAAAAAGGACATTTCCAAATCAGGGAAATGTGGGAAAAATGGCATTTGGGAGGATTTTGTGAAAATGGAATATCAGGGAAGGAGCGTCAGTTTTAATGGTGTTAAAAAAGGACATTCCCGAATCAGGGAAATGTGGGAAAAACAGAATTTGGCGAGCTTTACATGGCAGCTGTAGTCTGAGGATGAGGAGGAGGAAGAGGAGAAAGATTTCCCATCTCATCCCTGGGAAATGGGAGAATTCCAGCTGGGAAATGGGAATTTTGGATATAAAGAACATTTTCCCAGATTTTTTTCCCCTCTACACTTTCTCTGGCCAGGCCAAGAATTAAATCTTCCCCACCCCTGATCCATAAAAAATAAACCCTAGAAATAAACCCCAACCTGCTCTATCTTTAATGAAATTATTGACAGAGCTGCAAGCGGAATTTGCTTTATGGGATTTTATCTTTGGGAAGAGTCCCAAATCCAAGTGGGATTTTCCCTTCCCAGCCTCAKCTGTGTAAGGCCCAGCAGCATTTGGGTTTTTTTTGGGGGGAGCTTTGAGAAGGGGGCCAGGGGTGCTGATGGAATCCCAGTTTTGTGGGATTTCCCAGTTTGGGTGTGGGATTTCGACCCCAGGGATTGGAATAGATCAGGATTGGGCACTGTGGATGCTCATCCCCTCTCTTGGGCTGGTTTTTTGCATCATCCCAAATTTGGAAAATTCCTCAGCATCCCCCTGTCTCCAATCCCTGCTCCACAGTTGGATGTTGTTGGTAAAATCCTCAATTTTCCATAAATCTGTGTTTATTTCTGCCTTCTTACACCCCCAAAAGCTCAGAAAACAAAAAATTCGCGTYTGCATTGGGATTTTCATCAGGGAGGGCCGGAGACAGAGGTTCCTGAATTTCTCCTGGCACCATGCAGGTTTCCCAAGTCTCGAATTCCATGAGGAAATTTCCAGCTCCATGATGGGAACAGCTCCACCTGCACCTAAATCCACAAAAAATTGGGGTTAAAAGAACGGAAATTGGGACTCTGGGCGCAGCAGGGAGGCGGGAACTTGGCGGAAGGGTCCTGGAATGCCAATCCCAGAGCTCAGCCCCGAAATGCTGCCCCGGTCACTCCCTCGTAACCCAATTTCATCAGGAAAACGGGGCAAAAAGAAAAGGAAAGGAAAAGCAGCATAATCCGCTTTGGGAGTGCGGCGCCGGCGCTTGGCGGGAGCTCCAATTCCCTCCCCGGGAAAACCAAAGGGTTGAGGAAAGGGATTGAAGCCTGAAAATACAGGTTATAAATAAAACTTCAGTTAGTGAAATAAAATAAATACATAAATTCAAATAATATAAATAAATAAAATAAATAAATAAAATAAATAAAATAAATTTTAAAAATAAAAAAAATATATTTTAAAAATAAATAAAACAGTGTCTATAGAGCAGGTATTTGTTCATTGCAGCGCTGGAAATGAGGAAGATTTTTTTCTACTTAATTTACCCACTTTCGTCAAATGTCATGTCTTATTTCTACAATAAATTAACGTA